TTCACTTTCACAACTCTTGAAAACTAATCTCTCGTAACAGTAAGTAATTAATTTACATTCATTCCAAACCGAACGAGATAGTGTAAACCTCAAGGAATCTGAGATTGTAAGTAACCTCACCTGGGAACCAGGTGTGTGTGTGTGTGTGTGTGTGTGTGTGTGTGTCCTCTGAGGTACTTCACAGGGTATAAATAGAAATACTTAGCAACTTTTAATCTCATGAACAAGATCTTTATTTAAAATTCTCACATATAAAATGAATTATTTTATGTCATATTTCCTCAAGTGTGTTTTTTCCCTCATTTTAAGAATAAAAAAGACATCCAGAGGAAACAAGGTTGTCCTTTTCTCAGCCTCCAGAAACACTAGGGACAGCACAGGTAGCACAGGTGCTTGGTCTTAAACAAAAGTTAAGACTAAGTAGGGAAGAAAATGGAAAACAGAACACAGCCTAGCAAAGCAGCCAGAGATCACATGCAGCAGGTGACAGGAAGCCTTGGAGACACTTCACAGCCACCAGGATGAGCTTCATCCCAGGTCCCTGCAGGCCCCCTGGGCTCCACAGAACCTCCACCCAGCAGTCCATAAAAACGAAAGGCAGCAAAGAACTCTGTCATCCTGGCAAGAAAGAAGCAGCAGCCTCCTTGAACCCAGGAAAGCCACCCCTCCCTCCACAAACCGGAGGAGCCCCCTTCACACCAACCACACAAGGAAGCCCAAGCGGCCAAACCCAAAATAAAAATAAAAATAAGAGGAGCGCAGGAAGATAAATGACAGTTCAATTAAATTTATCCTGGGAGCGCTGGGAGGCTCCGTCTTTCTGAAGACTCTGACTCAAAAGTAAAAATAAAATTTAAGAGGAGGGAGCCCACAGAAGAGAGGACAGTTCAGTTAAGTCTGGACTGGGAACACTTGGAGACTCTACTTCGGGTGTCAGAGTCAGAAATAAAAATTAAAAAACGAGAATGGGGAGGTGTCAGTTTATTTTGTGTGTGAGTGTGTGCGCGTGTGTCTGTGTAGCACCTGGAGTGCAGGTGCCAGGGAGGGGAAAGTGGCGGCTCCGCCGTCCTTGAGGTGACCGGGCTCAACCCCGGGGTGAGTTTAAGCTCTGGGCGACAGGGCAGAGTCTGAGGGCCAGACTGCCCGCTGTCGGGAACAATGCTGGGCCCCGGAAAGGAGGGTCTCACACCACCCCCACGCGCCCCGCCATGCCGGCGGCATCCCAGCCCCCACCCTCCCCTGGCCCACGTCAGGGCAGGAACGCCCAAACCCGGGGTCCCAGAGCGGGCCTCACCCAGCAGCGCCCGCAGGTGCTTCAGGCGCGTCAGCCCGTCCTTCTCCGGGTCCAGCACCTTCTGGGTGGACTTCTTCAAAACCCCGTGGCTACTTCCAGAGAACGTCCGGCGGCGGCTGGAAACCGCCCCCTGGCGGGGCAGGGGCGCCTTCGCCTTGCGAATAACCGCATAGGATCCGGGTCCCGGTCGCGCGGACCCCTCGCCAACCGCCGGCGGCCGCGGCCGTTGCCTGCGTGGCAGCCGCCGCAGCCGCCGCAGCCGCCTCAGCGGAGGCTCTAGGGAGGAGGGGCAGGGCAGGTACTGCGAAATCCAGGGGCAAAAGGGCGGTGTCCACGCAGAATCCCCGCTGCACTGCGGGAGATGCGAGTCAGCCCTTCGGATGCCACGCGAGCGCAGCCCACTTGGATCTGCCAACGGAGGGCGCTAGTTCGCGGGCCGACTTTGAGCTCCTTCTTCCTCCTCCCCCAGCTATAGGTGGCAAGGCCTCTCGGGAAATGTAGTTCTTTAGGGGGCGAGGTGCGGGGACTTACCTTTCCAGAGTCCCCAAGCTGCTGGGCTGCCCCCGCCTGCCCCCTCCAGGAAGAGGCCCAGAGCTCCCAACCCTTCACTCCTTGCTCTGGGCCACCAGCCCATTTTCCTCTAGTGCAACGTGAACCACAAGAACATCTCAGTAAGAAAAAGTCAAGGCTTTAAAATGCAAACTATTTTTCCTTTTGACTTCTAGATTCACACAAAGGAGGGAGTCCGAGTCCCTTTGACCAAACTAAAATCAGAGCTCCAGCTTCACACGAACATCAGTGGCTTTGGCAGCAGGAAGAGCATCCCTAGACTCTGCGTGAGGAGTCCAGCGGGTACACTTGGTTCCTGGGATCCAGCTTCACTGGGGTATGAGGTAGCCTTGCCTAAAGGGCTCCTCAGGCTCTTGTCTCTTGCTTTGTAGGACGTGCAACCACCTTCCCTGTGTTGTGCAAGGTCCCACAGCAATCCAGTAGCAGAACCAGAAATAGAACCTGAGGGACCTGACTCTCAGGCTGGTATGCTTTTGCAGATTAGGTGCTGAAACCTGGAGCAAAACTTTGAAAAGGAAAATGGCCTGGAGATTTCTTACAAGAGATCTGTAGGATTATTTACTGGCCTCTCGATCCTCTGATGCTCCAAAGGTGGACATTTGAGCGAGTACTTAAGCTGGCTCTTTAAAATCATGGGCTTTCCGTCCACTTGGAGTACCATTTTTCTCATTCAAGGGAACCTGTAACTTGGGGAGAAACCCAAGAGATGTGACATAGCTTTGTATTCTCATAATTAGCATAGTATTTGACCTCCAGAAGCACTTGCTAAAAGTTTATTACAGAAAATGGAATAAGAGCTAGTTCTATCTATGCTATTTTGACAACTCTAAAAATAGAAAGGCTCTAACAACTAGAAGAAATGTGTTTGCATGCCTGGATGATAGAAATGTCCATATCCGAATCCAAGGAACATGGGATTGTGACTATTTCTTAGAAAAAGGAAATCATCTTCCATGATCTGGGTGATCCCTAAATCTAATGACTATCTTCTATTTATAAGAGACAGAAGAGGAGAAGACACAGAGAAGGCCATGTAAAAATGGAGGCAGAGATTGGAGTCATGTAGCCATAAGCCAAGTGATCCCTGGAGCCACTAGAAGCTAGAAGAAACAAGGAAGGATTCTGTCAGGGGGTTGTCCAGAGGGAGCACCGACACCTTGATTTTAGACTTCTGAACTTAAGAAATCAGAAAATAAATGTCTCTTATTTTAAGCCACCTCGTTTGTGTACTTTGTTGTAGCAGCCCTGGAAAATGAATACCACCAGATGCTGGAGACAACTCAGTGTGACTGTCTAGCAAGATCAGAATGACTGATATTGATTATAAGACCTTGAATAAATAAACATTCACGAATCCATAATGATACTCAAAAGAATGCTTTGTGATGTCCTAGGTGGGTGTTTCCAGTAGAAAACATAGCGTGTACTTTTGATGATTTGGGGCAGAGTTGGGTTTTTGTTTGCTTTTGTTTTTGTTTTTAGCTTATTTATTTGAAAAGGAGAGAGAGAAGGGGGAGGGGTGGGTAGAGGGAGAGGGATAGGGGCAGAGGGAGAAGGAGAAGCAGTCTCCCTGCTGAGCAGGGAGCCCCATCTTGTCTCTAGGCTGATTATCATTCAAGGACCCTGGGATCAGGACTTGAGCTAAAGGCACATGCTTAATGGACTGAGTCACCCATGCCCACCTGGGTGGGCACTTTTTTAAAAAGAAGAGAATGTGAGAGCCCCAGCTGGCTAAGACCCTTTCTCAGTAACAAATGGGGAAACCTGATCTGAACTGGGTATGTGTTTCATGATTCTAACCAGGGAAGAGTGCAGGGCTTTAGAGCTTTATAATTCCCCCCATAGGTCACATACCAGAAAGGATGATGTTTTCCTGATGACAGAAAACTGAATTGACGTCTTCAGGAAGACAGAGCCCAAGAAACCAGGACTGAGTGAGGGAAATGAGAGAGCAAAAGATCCCAAAGAATGAGAGAAACACTTAACAATTCTTGATGTTGTCTGCAAGAGAATTTAAGATTTTTGTTTTTGTATCCAATTTACATATATTCAAACCAACACATATTTACTGAACAAGTCATACCATTAAACTGTGATGACCATAGTTTTCTAATTCCCATTCTTTTCTATTTTGCAGAAAATTGTTGTTTCAAGGGCCATGTGAAAACTTCAACTCCTGCCGTTATTGATGTTAAATACTTATCAAACAATTCTACCATTCCTCATTGTTGGGCTTATACCCAGAACAGGGTCAGGGTCAGCAGTCAATCACTATTTATGGAATAAGCAAAATCATTCATTTCTTCATTAATATCTCCATCATGAGCATTATTAAGGAATGTTGTTTAGTACAATGTTTTCAATTTAACTAATGTGTTATGAATCCAAATGTTAAAATTCTACCCTTCTTCCCTCAGAAATCTTTCTAAAATATAAAGAGACTTCCCTGTCTTCTTAAAGAGCTTAATCACTGTTTATGAAACCACAATCTGCCCCACCCATCCACTGTGATTCCCTTCAACTCCTCTTACATGGGTGTTGCTACCAGACACAAAGGAGAAATGCCTGGTAGATCTTCCCCATCTAATGTTAACCATTTCTTGCCCCCAAATTCAGTCTCTGCTATCAGAGATCATTTGTTTACCTTTTGAACATCCATATTGGAATGTTTCTATATTTTTAGAACTGCCAGTTCTTAGTTTCCAGATAATCTAAAGGTTAAGGTATTTTGCTTTCTAATTGTCACTCATCAGAGTTTTTCAGTTTGGGAGGATTTGGGGTTTCTTCAAGTTGACTAAATTATCCTGTGCCTGCACACCAGTCCTAGTTGTCATGATTATTCTATTAATTTTAATATGTTTGAAAATTCAACTTTTTGATGCACATTTTCTTATCAGATAAGCTCATCGTGCCTGTCCTCAGAAGTAAGATCTTTTTGTATGCTAGACGCACTGTGGATCTTCATTTGGATATTGCCACAGAGAGCCAGCCCCAGTGAATTTCTGTGACATAGTCTATTTTTATTGATCTTTGCATTCTTATTTTCTTAAAAAGGAAAGCAATGATCTAATAAATTAAATTTTTATATCAACTCTTACCCTAAAATTTTGAATTCATTCAATGTGTATGCTGTGCCCCTGAGAATCCGCATCTATCTAAAATTCCTAAGAAAAAAAGGATGCCCCTCCCTAAGAATGAAATGCCAAACTCAACACCTAAGAAACAAGAAACCCAATGTCCTCGTTTTCCAGATGCTATATTACTGTAGACACCAAAAACATATTTTTCTCCTCCAGAAAGATTTCCTAATAGTCTTTTCTTTCCAAATATCTGTTAAATGAGGAGATTTAATACTTTAAACTTGATTTTATATCATTTTATATGAGAATTTCACTTCAGGACAGACTTGAAAAAGTTTTCAAAAATATGCTAGCCATTTTGATATGTCTGATGGACGTTTGATAACTACTCAAGCAGATGTCTTTGCAGCTGTGCATTTCAATCACAATGTCATCTGCTTTGGATATATTTTCTTTTTCTTTTTTTTTTTTAACATCAGAACAGTATTAACATTTCAGTGGTGAATCCTGGTAACACATCAACATTACAAAAAAGTAAGGCCATAAGTAAGTATCATAGGACCTTTTATAAATTCAAAAAATTATCTTTGAATAATAATGTCAGAAAAATAAAGAATCATGGAAACTCTCTAGATAGTAAATACAACTTGCATATAAGGACGATGTACAAAGGCTGGAGAGAGATGAAGTTTCATAGGTGAGAAGCCTGTGAAAATGTGCTCATGACCTCACCTCTTCCCCCATTACACAAAATGCCACTATTAGGTTTAATATTAGGTAAGATGTACTCCTTAATTTAGAACCAGGTGCTAGATTTTCTGAAAATGAATGGAGGAGGAGGAGTCAAGATGGCGGAGGGGTAGCAGGCTGAGATGACATTAGGTAGCAGGAGATGAGCTAGTTTATTAAACCATTCCAAACAGGTGATCAAAGAGAAGAAGATTAGCAATTCTAGAAGCAGAAAATCAACCACTTTCTGGAAGGCAGGACCTGTGGAGAAGTGAATCCAAAGCCACGGGAAGATAGACTGCAGGAGGAGGGGCCAGCTCCCAGCAAACAGCTGAGCAATGGAGCACAAAATCAGAACTTTTTAAAGTCTGCTCCACTGAGGGACATCGCTCCAGAGGCTAAGTTAGGGTGAAGCCCATGCTGGGACAGCATGTTCTCAGGTCCTGCGGGATCACAGAAGGATTGGGGGTGTCTGAGTGTCACAGAGCTTGCAGGTGTTAGAGCAGTGAAGCCAGCTACAGAGACAGAGCAGAGGAGTGAGCTCTTAACTCTGGGTTACCTTAAACTGTGATCCATGGGACAGTCAGGCCACTGTTCTTTGAGTGGGGATCCCACAAGATCCGGGGAGACCCCCCTGGAAGAGCACAGGGATCTGCTGGGTTTCAAGACTCCAGAGAGGGC